AAAAAACATCCGAGGGTAGTCTTATCGTTCACAACAGTCAGCTGCGCCCAGTCCAGTCGCATTTCTCACCTCACTCGAGGAATCTGGGTGTTCCTGCAACACCAAGTGCCCCTCACGAGTGAAGGAGTGCATCGGCCTCACCAAACTTTGTGGCTTCGCTGCTGAGGTAAGTCTGATGGAATATGATCATACATATTATATTCTAAACCAAGAAGATAGAAGTTGGTCAAATCTGCTAGTGATATTTAAATAGTATTAAATTATGATAAATTAGTGGTTCTATATCTTTTGGTGTCTACTATACACATGAATATTCATGTGACGTGTGGGTTTTACGATTTTCTTAGACACCCTGAACCCTGCAGAAACATACATTTAATTGGGTTTGGTTTATCACACCCATGGTCAATGTGAAACTGGAGATCATTCACTATTGGCTTTACCGCATTAAGTTTTAGCTCGCCGTTGCCTCCATACGTTCATGGCCAACCAAAGCAACAACAAATACATCAGAAACAGCCAATGTTGGTTTAAAAAACAAAACGTAAACCATTCCCAAATTCACCATCAATGGGTGGTTTTTAAACCATCAAAATATGGCTGGTTTATGCCAATGTTGGTTAAAAAAAAACAAAACACAAAAAAACAATCGTAATCGCCTTAAATTCACCATAAATAGGAGGTTTTTGAGCCATCAATCAACATATGGGTGGTTTATGACATGCTTTACCCACAGCACACGGTTTATCTCATCGCGAGTTAATGGCCTCCTGGCCTGCCCTGAACATGGTGGGATTCTCCAGCCATGTCTGATACCGGAGGGTACCGGAGGGTATAACTCACCTCATTAATAGGTGAAATGTTGAAAATGGGATCTAAAATGGTGGTTTAATGGGATCTAATGGGATTTAATAGGATCTACCCTCTGGTAAACATTCAAATAGCTATTGAACATGGCCATAGAAATGCTTGCTTTACCCATGAAGAATGGTGGATCTTTCCATAGTTATGTGACAGTTTACCAGAGGGTATCCCCATTCTCAATTGATATCCTACTTATTAAGTTTGCTACAATAGATACCAATTATCCAAAAAAAACAAAGTTGGTGGTTATATCACCCTACCACCCTTAGCCTTAGAATCCCAATAATCCTGAAAGTCACCATTTACCACCAACAATCACCACTCTTAACCATCAACCACTATTGATACCCTCCAACCATTCTTCACCAGTGATATCCTCAGTCCGTTCATATGGCTAATAAATGTTAATAATATTGGTTAATATCTTAAGCATCTTACTATATTAATCAATATTATCCAATATCATTATCCATAGAGAGTAAGAATAAGTATATGATTAGTCTGATCCATATATATATAGACTGGTTGGTGGTTTCAACCCTCCGAAAAATATCACAGCAGTCAATGGGAAGGATTATCCCATATATTATGGAAAATAAAAGTCATGTTCCAAACCACCAACCAGATATAGATATAGATATTATTAAATGTTATTACATATTATATGGATTAATCTGATCCATATATATATAATTATATTCATATATCCAGATATTAATCCGATCCATCTTCTACTGATATTATTATAATAGATATTATTAGATATTATCCGATCCAGTATATCCATATAGATAGATACATAGACATTATCAGAAAAATATTACTAGAAAAATATTAGTCAGTTGAGTCAGTTGGGATGATTCTTCCCAATTTATGGAAAGTCATAAAATTCATGTTCCAAACCACCAACCAGTTATCCATCTTCTACTGATATCCTCCTTTCCATCGCATCCTTTCGGGTCACAATTGGGCCGACCGTCCATGGCCGCCGTGGCCAGATGCGCGTCCGTCCAGGACTCAGCCGACCATGGCCGACATGGGTGAGTTCGTAACAAGAAAAGTGGAGGCTTTAAGGGAACAAAAAGGGGGAACATGGGTGATAGATCTTAGAAGAACCAAAAAAGTACAAGAAAGTGGAGGTTTTAATGGGAAATTGAGAATGGGGATACCCTCTGGTAAACGTTTACATATATGGAAAATCCACAATTTTAATTTGGAAAACTCACTATGTCTATGGCCATTTTCAATAGCAAACTGTTAGTTTACCAGAGGGTAAGGGAAAAAAGGGGAACATGGCTGAATCAATCAAAGAACCAAAAGATTGGACCTTCAGGAAAATATGCTGTTCGATCTTAGTCCAAAACATGCTTTGACAAGCAAAAACATGGGATCCAAGTGCAATAAATTCCTGCAATCAGCAGGATGTTAACTTCTCAACAATTCAGATGGTATCTTGAACTCCAAAGGTCTGCAAAGATTCTACATGACTGGGTCATATTTAGGATACATTCTATTTTCGTATCCTAAAGTGAAGTGGTCTTAGAGTTACTATATGAGTAACTACAACATTCTACAATGAAGAATTCATGTGCTCACGCCATCGCCAAAACCACCCAAGTTGTGGCTCAAAATTATACACTGGTGATAGTTTGTGGCTCCATTGGTGCCCCACCTAGTTTTGAGCCATACCGATATTACCCTCTGGTAAACATACAAAAAAGCTATGGATGTCACCATCTTGAAGTTCGGCACATCAACTATTATGGGCCATTTACAGCAATCAGTGACCAGAGGCTAGAAAAAATACATTCCAATTTCCGCTACTAGACCCATTGCTGGTGACATACCTCTGAGGTATCCTGAACCCTGATCATCCCTAATCGTTATACATGCAGAAAACAACACTGACGCGGCTGTCTATCTGCATCCCTAGGCACGCAGAATGATGTTCACAATTTCGAGAACTTAGCCAGCAAAGCATCATTTCCTGAGACCGCCACTACAACAGCACACGCACAGAATTCAAAGAAACACTGCACAAACCTTGAGAAAGGGAGAAAGTTCAAGACCAGAATCCAAACTGAGCTGACCCGAGACAGGCTCAGGGACCGCTCAAACAGATTTTGGACATTCGTCGATCTGTCTATCCGATTCGACGCGCAGCATGAGAAGCCAATGTTGTACCATAGAAACTCCACCAGCAGCAAAAAAAAACAGGCAAAGCTGCAAGTTTGCCTGGATACAAAGACATTTCATCAACAAACTGCCCCGTGACTCCAACACATACACGATCCAAACATATCCAAACCAACTCTTCGCCGCAGCCAATCACACAACAAATCACACAAACCTTTTGACGCTTCCCACACACAACATGAAGTTGGGACATGAGAAGACTTACAAGCAGCAAGGAATCAGTGATTTCTTTCTGATCTGAATACATGGTTATCTATTTAAAGTACATGCAACTCAGGTAGCCAAGGCTCCCTGTCGTGGTAGATGATGAATGATTGAAATTCAGGCAACGCTTGATTTTCTTGACATTATGCTTATCATCGAATTGTTGTTTGCAGTTCGTCCATGCGATGATTGCACCAGGACAAAGCCACTGGTCGATCATGGAGGCCACATCCTTGGAGCCACCGTTGGACGCACCCTTGAAACCACACTTCCTGACTGATGCAGGCCCATGCGGCTCAGTTCATGGGACACAAAGAGCAACGCTTGGTGTTTTCAGGACTCTAACTTGGCGAATTTGTACTGTCAATGGTGAATTTTTTTATTGTGGTTCCGTATGCAAAAATCATGAAAAGCAACTTCATTAGAACCCCATTTTTCAGCCATGGACCTAGCAATTCTATGACAATATCAACCATTCATATTCCTCGGCATTCCTCGGTACCCCGTTTTTCTCAACCCCCGCTTTTTGCAATTCATCCGGGTCCTGGGACACCACGAGGGACCCGCCATGAAACACGACCCGTAAAGAGATTTCTAATGGCTTCCGGGTGGCAAAGTCATAACTCCAAAGTCACCACATGTTTGAGTGCTGACCAAGATCACATTTTTTTTGCGATTGTAGACCACATTGAACATCGATGAACATCAATGAACCACCATGAACTTGATGTGCATCCCAGGCATTGTAAGTGTAGCAACCATGAAGATAAGCCACATAGATTCGTGGGCTATACCTCCCATGGAACTCAGGCGTCACATCTCAGGAGTCCCGACAACTTGGGGTATTTTTCGGCTCTGCCCCAACCTGTGGGTCGTGCATTAGGGCCTTTCTGGAGGTTCATCAACGATTCAAAAACAACCCCACTCCGGTCGAAGTTGATACATGTGGCTGTTTAAATCCTTGCGCTCGAAGTGAAAATCATCAATAAATGGAAAAAGGGTAACGAACACTCCCGCAAGCACCTTTTGCCAATTATTGAAACATACCAGTACCATTTCTATTTTCCGCGACCTGTTGTGAGGAAATTAAATAGGAAAAATGTCCTTTGTGGGAGTTGTTTGGCTATGAACTCGCGAGAAATTGATGAATTGTTGGATTATAGTGGCTCCCAACCAAAGGTTATATATTGAAGCAAAAGAAAATGGCAACAATAATATCCACTTCAATCATCTTCAAGCTGCAAAAATAATGTGCCCCCGACTCCTCCCAAAAATGAAGCGATCTGTTGCAAATATGTGGCAGGATCGGTAGCGATATTTATTTTGTATTCTTTCGTTAGAATTCACTCGTTGTCATCTCCAAAAAGCTTGACAAATCAATATCCCAAGGTGAAATTGCCAGAGGTCTTAGGAATTTGGGCACGAAAAGTCGAGGTTATGAGGCTTTTCACAACCCCTGTGTGGGAGAGGAGCAGAGGAACACCAAGACAGCAGTTCCATTCTCTGCTGAAAGGCAGCTGTTGTGCTCTCACCTGGCAGCAGGGCGGATGCAACGAATGGCACTGAAACATCAAGGCTGATGGAATTGAAATTCGGGGTCAAACGGATAAATCATGAGAAATCTCTCCCAAGATGAATCAAAACGACAAGCAGGGTGCATCAGCAATATGTGTTTTCACTTTATGAGTCTGCAGATTGCTGCGGCAGGCTTCAAACATTGGCCTCTCACAGACTCCTCAAGGATTGTTGTACTTGAATGTCAACTTTGTCTCACACGAGCATACAGGCACAACTCGGGTTGAGTTTGTAGAAAGCGCAGCACATCGAACACCGGAGGAGCCTCCATCGAAGAGACTCATGCTCCCGTCCGCCGGGGCAAAAGCTCCCACGTTAAAAAAAAAGAAGCTCTCAATTTCACATGTTGCACTCACGCTCCAAAGATTAATTTCTGAGCCGGTGTTGCCCAAATACTCCCCAAGACCGTATCCGGCCGTGTTGCTGACAACACGAACTGATGTAGCGGCTACATCCGTGTCTCCACATGACAGGCCGCTGATGCAACCTGTGACAAGTCCAGGGGAGTTGCCATTCTCTGTCCGATTGAGATTCTCGAAGGCAAAGGTGAAATTGCCACCGGGGCAATTTGGCACGGAAGCAAGCAAGCAGAAGTAGTAGTACTAGAAGTAGAAGCAGTAGTAGTGGTGGTGGTGGCGGTGGTAGTAGAAGTAGTAGTGGTGGTGGTTGTGGCGGTGGTAGTAGAAGTAGTAGTGGTGGTGGTGGTGGCGGTGGTAGTAGAAGTAGTAGTGGTGGTGGTGGCGGTGGTAGTAGAAGTAGTAGTGGTGGTGGTGGCGGTGGTGGTAGTAGAAGTAGTAGTGGTGGTGGTGGCGGTGGTGGTAGTAGTAGTAGTGGTGGTGGTGGTGGTGGCGGTAGTGGTAGTGGTCGTGGTAGTGGTACTGGCAGTGGTACTGGTAGGGTGGCGACGACGACCCTCCAATGTTTCTTTAATTTTTTTGATTTTCCAAATTTTGAATGGGATCCCTTCATTGCCTTGTAGATCCTTGCCATCTTGTAGAAAATCCGTTGTGATGTTTGGTAGTACGAGTAGTGTGTCATCCATCACCCTCTTCTTGGGATCAGCTTGACTTTCGGCAACTTTCTTCACTTGGATGGCGGCAAATTCATCCGCAGCCTGCGGCAAATCACAAGCGCCAGACGCGCACAATCCCTCCTTGGAAGCCTCCTCAGGCATTGCCAGGTGCAGCAGGCACAGGAGCACCCGCAGCAGCTTCATGGGTTTTGCCTAATCGAAAACTCTAAAATATGTATGACTCGCACGTCGCTTATGGAGCTGCAGTTACAACGATGTTTGAGCCAGCGCAACGCGGAAGTCCCAACAGCTCATCACACAGCTCCTGCAACAGCTCCTGCCGAGCAACACTACTGTACACTACAGACACTTCGCACGTGAAATGGTCCATGATGTCCATGCACAAGTCAGACAGAAAGTCAGAAGATCAATGCATCGCACCGTCAGTCAAAAATTGGTTTCAAATCTGGCCCAGCCTCTGGTTTGATGTTGCCATTGCCCACGAAGCAGCGCAGGGCAACGCCTGCACAAAAAAAATCGGTAATCCCCCTGCTAGAATACTCAGTAAGTGCATAGTATCTCCGTGAACGCCTTTCAATGGTTGTTTTTATTATTTGGTTGTTGGGATTTTTGGTGCACTAGGCTGCAGAAAGGAAAATAAGATGCCGGTCACAATTTTTGTATTGGTGTCTTTTGAGGATCTTAGAAAATGACACCAAAACATAGAAAACAGCCTGTGAGAAAACAACCAGAGCCCATAACTGTAGTCATTTTCTTGTAGATGCGTGGGGTGGGGTTACAGGAACTGTGGCTATCCGGCCTCGTCACCACCCAAATCGACCCATCACCTCGCTCCTTGCAGCCTTCTTACCCCTGAACTGCCCACGAGCCCAACTGGCGGTTGGAGAAAGACTTCTAAAATGTCGACAGCAAGATTCGTTTCTTATCTCAAGTTCTCATGGAAAACGCACTTCGAAACATTCACACACCAGCTGAAGACGTGAACAAAGATTCAAGGCTTGTGGTCTCAGCTACTATGAGCGACCGCAACCCCCTGCAGGATTTTTGTTGTTTCCAAAGACATGCACAATGAAACGTTGGAGAAACGGGGCTATCACGAATTGAACAGGTAATAACACATATATGTATAACAGCTAGATGATGATATAATATCACTACCCTTTTAAGGAGGGGGGGCGTACCCAAATTGCAAGACACAATTTAGACGTTTTTGAGGGAGGTGGTCCTGTTAAATGCTGGCAAGCTTTTTTTTTTTAACTGCGTCTTATTTGCAAGATTTCATTTTAGTAGGTCCCCTCATTCTTTACGGGATTTCATTGATTTTCTGAAAAACACAGGGGAGCGTTGACTATTGTCCATTACATTTTTGAAAAAAATGTAAGAACATGCAAAAAACATGTAAAAAATAGTGTGAAGGTCTGCAACTAGCTGCAGAATTGCAGAAAATCAAAAATGCAAACTGAAAGTGTGTAGGTCCCCAATTGCCTGGTATTTCCAATACTTTCTACACTTTTTCTACATTTTTTATCATTTCCACATGTAACATAGAGGTACAGTATAGAAGGTATATTATTCTTGACAAATTACTGGATAATCTTTGAACTCCAAATAAATGTAAAATTAGATGTTGAAGGTCTTCAAATTTACCTCCTAACTATGGAAAAACAATAGAATACAAATAAAGATCTCAAATGGACCTCAAAAGGACCTCATATGAACCTTTATGGGGTCCCCATGGTAAACCCCCCCCTTTATGCACCTACATGATCCAACTTAAACACCCTTCTGCCGCGGTTCCTATCTAGCCCCCCTTATGACCCTCCAACCATAATAGAATAACAATCTACACATATGTCATGTTGATTCTGAAAGGAACTGTGGAACCTGAGGTGTAGGATGGTTACATTTTTCAATCTTAGCTTTATCTTCTTTTTCGAGCACTTTCTGCAAGGAACTATGGACCTTATGTATAGGATGGTGCTTGTTCTTTCAAATCTGATCTTTACCTTCTTTTTTAAGCACTTTCTGCAAGGAATTATAGGCCTCAGGTGTAGTATGGTTACATTTGTCTATCTCATGTTTACCTTCTTTTTAAGCAATTTCTGCAAGGAATTAAGGACCTCAGGTGTAGGATGGTTACATGATTCTATCTTATCTCCACCTTCTTTTTTGAGCACTTTCTGCAAGGAGTTAAGGACCTCAAGTGTAGGATGGTTACATTTTTTAATCTCATCTCTACCTTCTCATTTTAAGCACTAGCTGCCAGGAATTATAGGCCTCAGGTGTAGGATGGTTCCATTGGAGCTAACTATCCTCATGCCTTATTTTCATATAATCTAATGTATGCAGGTCTGTTGAAATGCGACAGGTAGACAGACTAAGCTGCAAGATGCAGGGGAGTGATGGAGCTGTTGCAGCCCACGCACAATGTCACGCGGTCACCGAATTTCCAGAAGTTCATTAAGACATTCCCGAGCTGAACAAATCTCGCTGAGGACATCAGAAGTCCAATGGACCCCAAAGCTGTTCGGCGCAGTCCCAGTAAAGGCCACAAACATAACCCATAGGATCCATGGTGCTGCTATATATGGTAACATTTACCATCAATATACCCCAAATGTTAGCATATATACCAGCACCATGGACCCTATGGGTGATTATACAAAAACAAGCCATCAATGGCTGTTGGAAGTCCTCGTGTTGGGAATACCATCCAAAGAATCCGGAGATTTTTCGTTGCCACATTTGAGTACTGGGAAATCCTCACAATCCCTTACCGTTTTTGGGTAGCTGCGGAGCGCCTGGATGAACTGTTGGCTGAGTTGAATTGGATAAGAATTGGAGATGTAGCACCAAAAAAGAGATACAGTCGAACATGTGAAATTTATCATTTGAGTGGGAGTTTACCTTTTCTATCTTGTTGGGGTTGCTATGCTTCAATATCCACTATCTGTTGCAAGGTAGCAAGATAGGTGGCTTTCATGTGTAAGACATTGATATGCGCTTCGACAGATCAACTTTTGGCCGTCTCCAGGGGCACATTTCAGCGCCAAAAAACAACAGCTGATGGCTGATGGCTTGAATATTGCTTGTGTGGTGATTCTGTATCCCTTCCATCAGTGCACTGGTGCAATTTTTTCTGGAATTCATGATGTACAAAGCATGGTCTCAAGGTGGATAGGCAGAAATCCCCGTTGACATAGGAAAGTCCCATCCAGGCATCGCTCTGGGAGGCTCCTGGAGAACATTCCACATCGCTCGTTTTCGGTACCAAAATCCATCTAAAAATCCAGGTGGGAGGGCCCAGTCTTCACTGAACAAAAAGTTGCCCCGAATAGGTGGCTGCGCTGCGTGGCTCATAGTAGTCATCTTTATTGAAGATCGCCAACATATATATCAGCTCTGACACGCAGCTTCACCAGTGGCCTGGTGCCTCCGCAAGAACTTGCCAGAGCTTTCGAGAAGTTTTCTTATTCCTCGACCATATTAACGAATTATACGAATGGATGAAGATTTTGCAGTGAGAAATGGATCAAAGTGCTTAATAGTACCAGGTTATATGATGTGATATGTCTAGAGGGACATTCTTGGACCAACATTTCTCATGTCATGTGGCAACTGACATCCTGTAATCGAGGCTGTTTCTCAAACAAATTATCGTCCAAGCATTTGGTCGTGTTTATCTGGAATACCAATTTTTCTGGGGTAATGACCCCAATCTTTTTTGAAACTCCATTCGCATCCATTCCACAAAAATTCTATGAATGATTCACAAATCCAGTGCTTATCTTTTATAGCACAAAACCATCCCAGTGTGGGAACATGTCGACACTTTCTTCAACCTCAAGCAGCGGGCGCAGCGATAAATCCGTCGTCGTTCGGGACGATTTCGACCCGTCGTTGTGACCGGTCATCGAAACATCAAACAACTCGTGGTGAAGGCGTGAAGATAGGTCCTTGCCGGTGTGGCTGTGGGACGACTGAAGACCTTAGATAGGAACATGGAATATATATATATAGTTATATATATATATATATGCTATGTTATGATGAGATATTGGAAAATGGAAGATGTATATACCATTATATACCTATATATATAATAATCCTGGAATATACTATGATATAATAGAGGAGAATACATGATCATATGAATATGTGTGTATGTGGCATTTATGTTAGGTTGTTAATGTGACTTTTAATATATTATATTATATATATATTATATTATATATGTATATATATATATTAAATTATACTATACTATATTATAGTATATAATATTATATTATATTATATTTATTATATTATATTATATCATATTATATTATATTGTATATATATATTATATTATATTTATTATATTATATCATATTATATCATATTATATTATATTATATCATATTATATTATATTGTATATATATATGTATTATATCATATTATATTATATTGTATATATATATATATATATTATATTATATTATATATTATATTATATTATATATTATATTATATATTATATTATATATTATATTATATATTATATTATATATATATTATATTATATATTATATTAAATATTATATTATATTATATTATATATAGTATTATATATATGTAACTGCCCAGAATTATGATATCTGCGTGTGTCTGAAACAGGCATACAAACGCATGAGAACCTCCCAAGGGTGAATTATCGGTTCTGGTTTACTGATTGTTGGTTTTGCCACACAAGATGTCTATAGACATACCCTCCGGAAATCAAACATGGCAATTGGAAATCCCTTGGAAATAGAGGTTTTGATTGGTAAATCACCTATACATGGATAGTCTTCCATTGCCATGTTTGATTACCGGACATCATTGTATAATCCCATATATAAATCCATATATATGTATATATGTATATTCATTCATCCTATATTATTAATCCTATATATATAATATAATTATATATTATAATATAATGCTTGCAGCCATAAATCCCATATATTTCCGCAGTTCATGGTGACACTCCTTAAGCCCACGGGGCCAAATTCGCCGCCGGCAAAGAACCCCACCTCAAATGCAGCTGGGGACACCAGGGCTTGGAAAGGTGACTTCAACTTGAAATGATCCGAAAATTCACATGGGTTTGTCTGAAAATATGGTCCTTCTATACATAATTTGTAGATATCATTATTGCGACGGACTTATACTTAGAACATCATTTTTTAGAACATCAAAATTACCATACTTAGAACATCAGAAATGTTTCTAAGTACGCACTTAGAACATCAGAAAAACAGATACTTAGAACATATCCATTGATTTTTGCATACTTAGAACATTAAAACACACATATACTTAGAACATGTCCTGTTACTTTGGTAAATCTGCATATATACACACAAATACCTTGGTGAACACCATACTTAGAACACTTTCTCCCCTCACTGCTGCAGCATTCTATACCTTTTCTTCGTGCACACATACACATATATATATATTATAGTAAATATGATGTATCAATGTAAGACTGATGCTGGAGATTGCCCCTAGCCTATTAGTTTATAAATATCCGCCGACCCCGGCAGAAATTAGGCGGCAGGGGCGGCAGCCCTTAAATAAATATATCTATATATAGTATTATATAGTGTATATATATAATTCGCGACGGAAAAATACTTCGAACATACATATATGTATGGTTCCCATTGGTTCCCCACTGGGATGTTCTAAGTATAGCTTGGAAATGTTCTAAGTATAGGTTTTGGGTATGTTCTAACTACTTTTTTTGAAACCCATACTTAGAACATCCCCGCTGTGACGATTTTCAGATTTTTTTCTAAATGATGTTCCAAGTGTTTGTCCGTCGCTATACATATCTAATCATGATTAGTCCTATTAAAATGGACATGGGCAGTATACACCCACATGGAAGCAAGAAAACACGGGAAAACATAGATTTGGAGAATGATTCCTTCATCAAAAATTGCAGCTCTTGATGTTCCATGTCGAGTTTTGAGCGTGATCTGCGGTTTATTGTGCAAAGAGCTGGCAAACATCAAGGGGCAGTGGATACAACCGTTCCCCGTCACCCAAAAAGGGAAGGGGACAGCCATGGCTAATCTTAGACGCAGTGCAGAAAAGCTTGTTTCGCAGGGTTCCATCTGGCACCATGTGGCAGGAACAACTAGGCTTCCCAGGACAAGAAATGGAGCACATCACCCCACGGCCCACATTTGAGGATAGAAACCGTGGGCACGTCGCATCCCCAAACTTCGCGGAAAATCGCGCCTGGCGCAGAATTCGGATGGTTTCGAACCCTTTCGAACCTCATTTGTCCTATCAAAAAATTGGCTCGGAATGAAGGGTATGGCCACCACCAATTCTCATATCGGTGGTTTTATAGCCATCCCAGATCCGTGGCACCTGAGGCCCACATTGAAGCATCTTGAAACATACCTGTTGCATGTTAAAATCCTGAATATTAAGATCCCAAATTCCAGTTTATGAACGGGTTACATTGTATTCCACTTGAATACTAAAGTTTCTTCAGCTACTGAAAAGAAAACATGTCTTGAAGGCAATGTCTAACACCCCTTACGGCCCCCTACTAATGCACTAGCATATTATGTACACATGTTTGCTAACGTCAAAATGCCAAACGAAATCCATATTTGCTAATCAACAAGATACTGTGTATATATATATATGCATATTACATCATATTACATCATATTACATCATATTACATCATATTACATCATATTACATCATATTACATCATATTACATCATATTACCACTATATATATATACCTGGCTAAAATACGTTAAAATCGGAAAGTAAATCTCATCTGTCAATGAGGGTAAATCCTATTAAATCCATAAAATCCCATGGAAAACAACTATTAAACTTTATTAAACCACCATAAAATCATCTGTCAATGATCCATAAATATGAAACAACACGCGAAGAAAAAACGCACCTGCCACGTGATCCACCGAGCTCCCATCCCGAAACGTTGGGTCGCCGGACTCTCCACCCCTTCGCTGCCGTACAATGCCACGCCGCGTGCACCACAGGAGATGATGACCTGCGGACAGGCAGGGGATAGAATGGGGTTATGGAAAATATAACGGTTAATCATTGTTAATAGTGGTTAATCAGTGCTAATAACATAGATATATGGAAAATCACATTTTTGATGTTTGATGAGATACCCTCTGGTTATTTAACATAGCCATGGAAAACCCACCCATTTTTAAGAACGGTAAACCATCTATAAATAGGCCATTTTGAATGGCTATGTTAAATAACCAGAGGGTAGCTATGGAAGATTGCCCATTTCTGTAACTTATGGATGCTACATAACATGTGTATCAATGGAAACATTTATTACAGATGGCCTAGATGGCCATGGCCCTTGTCTGGTTTCGCGAATGTTTTTTGTAACCCTCATTTCAATATCCCAAAAAAATGAATTTCAGACCATGACTTACCAGTATGTAATCCAGTATTTCAGTCGGATTTTACCAACTGCCCCATCCAAATCTTGGTGAATTCATCATCTTTTTGATGCTACTTTTCAGGAGATGCTACGTCTGGCAACATTGCTATGGAACATCACCATGTTTCATAGGTAAAATCATGAAAAATCATCATCTGGTTGGTGGTTTGAATCCCTCTGAAAAATATGAGTTCGTCAGTTGGGGTTACTATTCCTAACCAGATGGAAGAAAAAAACATGTTCCAAACCACCAACCAGTTCAAGTTTACTATGTTCATCTGACATCCCATATATTATGGAAAATAAAAACTGTTTGAAACCCTCAACCAGTTAAATCATCATTAATGATCCATAAATCTGGGCCATAGCTGCCATAGCTGCCAGTTCAATTACCAGCTATGCCCCGCTGCATCCCCAGTCCGCACCGCCGCTTTGGGCGGCCGTCCGTTGTGCAGCGCCATGTCCTGGCCATGGAACATCCAGCTGGGTCGCATGGGGAGTTCCATCAATATGACTGGATGGTGAACATTTCATGGAAAATCCCATGAAAATCCCATTTTATACTGGAAAATCCCATAAAAACACATCTAGAAATGGATGCTTTAGGAATTTAGGGGTACCCCTATGACTTAGGAAACCCTTAAAATGAAAGCCTACTTAAAATGGATGACTTGGGGGTACCCCTATGACTTCGGAAACCAAAAAACATAGATAGGTCGTTGATTCAATGGGGATGAATCAATAATTGGATGGAAAACTACCAGTAATATCAACCGATATCAATTGTTAATGGGATTTAATTCCCATAATTCACTAACTAATTATGTTCACTAACTATGGTGAATGGGATTATATGGGATTTGATTCCCATAATTCCAATGTGACATATCCAACACTGGTGGTTGACCTACCCCTCTGAAAAATGATGGAGTTCGTCAGTTGGGATGATGACATTCCAAATAGATGGAAAGTCATAATCCAGCCATGTTCCAAACCACCAACCAGAACATGTAATATCAATGCTGACTCACAATTCACGAACGAATTAACATCGCCTGGGATCATTCCAATCCTAATCCTCATTCCAGTGAGGAGTTCTCGACGGCTTCGGTCGTGATTTAACATCAATTTACCCAGATTTTTCGGATAGATGTATAGGAAAATCGGATATGTATAGGAAAACTGGGGGTATCCCATGTGTATTCCAAAAAAATCTCGGACCGGTTTTGTTTCTAGGAAATGGACTGAAGAGATTCCATGGGAAATCACGGACGTTTCTGGAACTTTTTTCTGAATGAAAGGCCTAAATGATTCTAAACGTCTAGATGATGACTATGAATTCTATTCATCTATATATATATATATATATATACGTATATTATATTATATACATATACATGTCTAAGTCATCTGCAAATGGGGATTTGACAATCAAAAAGGATAGATAAAATGGGAATCTACCGATAAAATATGAGCATTTACTGGGTAAATGGCTATACGCGGTGATCTACTTCAATTTGATGGTATAATTATATATATATTTGCATAATAGATGTAACATGTAGTGAAGTGCGGATATGCAACCAACTACAACTTGCACGATAATGGGCAATCAACAAACCCTAGAAAGTTAGCTATACATGGATATACATGGTGTTTTAACTCAAAAATACGGGTGTATAAACAGAGGATGGCGTACCAACCGTAGAAAAAATACGATAAATGGCAATCTTCAGGGCGGATTTAACCAGAAAAAGTTATGGGGTATGATTTGAGGGTATAATTTTGGGGATACACCCTGAGAATTACCATCCCCAATCTCACCATGGACTCTTGGTGGTTCAACAAACCACATATTCTCAGACCAGCCTCACCCCCCCCCCCCCGGAGCAGTTTCACCGCACCGTTTCCACACGGGAACGCAGGTCTTTCAACGCCTCGCTTCGTTGGAAAATATGATCCCCGACTTTCGATATGAGATGGTTTCTTTGGGAATCATCTTACTTAACTCACGCATATATATATATATAATATGTTTTGCAACTAATGGATGTGAATCCCGAACAAATGGGATCAAACATCATTACAATGCAAGTTTCTTGGCGTGTTGCATGATTTTTTGCTGGACATAATTGACAAACTCTTTCTGCTCGTGCCAATGTCAAACATATATGTTTTTTTCTAAGACATGGGGCGACAACATGTCGCAGGACAAGATCCCTCCCATTGGGAGCGCATCGGCCATGCACTTCGAAGAACATGACAAGGTCGGAGCAATCTTGTTGTTGTTGGATGTATTACCCATGACAGATCCTAACGGTGCTGCAAAAAAAATGGTGTGCCATGGATCCCATCAATCTACTGTACCCCATTTATGTTAGCATATATACCAGCACCAGCCGGATCCGTCATGGGTTATGTCTGTTCGTTCTCATCATGAGATTCCCTCTTCGTGGAATATGATCATCCCCAAAAAGAGCCACAAAAAAATCCGTCACTGCGTTACTGCGCCCAGAAATTCCTCAGGAATTTCCATCACTGGGGAAGCCACATGTTCAGGGCTGAAGCACTGCAATTGCAGCTTCATGCCTGGATGGACATCCATGGGAATCCCATGGGAATCCTGGAGATCCATGACGCATGTTTTGCTGGCATTTTCTGACGTTGTTTTGCTGCGAAAAAAAATAGGTGAAAGTTCATGCACATCCCCATGAAAATAACAAACATGAGCAACACATTGAAGTAATTTGAAACACTATATAAGTACCCATGGAAAAGGTGCCCTTGAGGAAATCACAAAAACCAAAAAAACACATGACACAAATGATGGATGGCTTTCGCACAAACCAAAAAAGAGGGGGCTGGGCTATAAAAATCATGGGCTAGCCTGGGGGTTCTATGAAACCAACAACGTGGATCTAATCAGTAAGACCAAGGTACCCTACCTAGCCTAGCACCGAATTTTGATGGTTTAGACATGTTCCCAAAACTTGGAGAACATCCCTTCTGGCTCTTGATGTTTTGTTTACCCCCCTGCGAACTGTTTGGTTGTTGGCGCTATCCAACGGGTGAAGTCTCTCTCTCTCTCTCCCCTTGTGAATGCTGGTCCGCATTCCCAGTTTTGCTGGTGGGATCAACTTCAGTCAAGGTGCTCTTACTTCTAAACCCAATTAATTATAGCCAAACCCCATGTGTGTGTGGTTGGTAAATCTCCATTTTTGAATCCTCCAATCCTTATCTTAGCTGGTCTTGATAATTGTAAACTTCCACAGTCCGATAAAATCATGAACTCCTTCTGGTTCAATCTCATCTTTAGTTTTACTTGGCCACTGTTGCAGCTTGAAATCAGATTAAATCCATCCAAATTGTGTCTAAATTCATGTTTTTTTCCCACTTTCCCCTTGGTCAACTCCAAACCTCTGTGGTTTCTGGCATGATATCACATTGGGTCCCACTGGATTGGGTCCCGATGAAAATCCCGCCTGGGCTATATGGTGTCGTTTCCGTCAGAGGAGACCTCAAGGAGTTTTCGGAGTTTGACAGGATCTGGGTGTGGTTTTTTATGGGGGCATACCTCCAAATTGTTATTTTCACGGAAAAAAAAGAGCTTCAAAAACCATCAAATTGGGGTACCCCAAAGTAGACCTTGAAATTTGCAAACCAACAAAAAAACATCAGAAAAAACAAAGAAACTCATACCCTCTATTTAACGTAGCTATGGACAATCACCAGTTTTGGGTACATCATGATGTTTCTCATCTATAAATAGGCCATTCTCCACACTTATATTTAAAAAATCATCAGAGGGTAGTAAGAAATTGTTCACAATCAGCTGCCCACAGTTGCACGTGACTCACCTCACAACCGAGGAATCTGGGTGGTCCTGCAACACCAAGTGTCCCTCACGAGTGAAGGAGTGCATCGGCCTCACCAAACCTTGTGACAAGTGGCTTCGCTGAGGTAAGTCTGATGGAATATGATCATACCAACATATTCTAAACCAAGAAGATAGAAGTTGGTCAAATCTGCTGGTGATAAATAGTATTAACTTATGATAAATTAGTGGTTCGATCTTTTTTGGTAGCTACTATACACATAAATATTCATGTGACGTGTGGGTTTTACGATTTTCTTAGACACCCTGCAGAAAAAAAAATTACAGTTGGGTTTGGTTTATAACACCCATGGTCAATGTGAAACTGGAGATCATTCATTATTGGCTTTACCGCATTAAGTTTTAGCTCGCCGTTGCCTCCGTACATTCATGGGCAACCAAAGCAACAACAAATACATCAGAAACAACCAATGTTGGTTAAAAAAAAACGTAAACCATTCCCAAATTCACCATCAATGGGTGGTTTTTGAACCATCAAAATATGGCTGGTTTATGACATTTACCCGATCAGCCATAAACTCATCGCGAAGATTGCCTCCTAAATGCCCTGAACATGGTGGGATTCTCCAGCTTATCGTTGCTACAAAAGATACTCAATGGGAGATCTCCAGGATCCAACAGATGGAGGTACGTAAACGTACCATATTTCTGGCCATAGAAATTGGGGGTATATCTCCTTACATAGCCCTAAAAAATAGGCCTTGTATATGGTAGGTACCTCCAATTTCGGTTCCTGGAATGGCCATTGAGATACCCTCTCGTAAACTAACATAGCTATGGACAATTGCCCATTTATAGATGGTTTACCTATTAAACATGGTGATTTTCTATAGCTATGTTAGTTTACCAGAGGGTACCAATTATCCAACATTTCCAAAGTTGCTGGTTATATAACCCTATGACCCTTAGCCTTAGAATCCCAATAATCCTGAAAGTCACCATAAACCACCAACAATCACCAGTCTTAACCATCAACCACTATTGATACCCTCCAACCATTATTCACCGGTGATATCCTCAGTCCGTTCATATGGTTAATACATGTTAATAATATGGATTAATATCTTAAGCATCTTACTATATTAAGCAATATTATCCAATATCATTATCCATAGATAGTACTAATAAATATATTAATCTGCTCCATGTATATATATATACACGTATATATATATACATACAGTATATATACTATTCTGGTTGGTGGTTTCAACCCCTCTGAAAAATATGAAAGTCAGTTGGGATTATTCTTCCCAATATATGGACAAATAAAAAAAAAACACCAACCAGATATATAGATATTGTTAGATATCCATTAGATACATATCCATATATTATCCATATTTATCTTCTAATATCTAATAATATTCTAATAATATCTAATATGATCCATCTTCTACTGATATCCTCCTTTACATCGCATCTTCCTTTCGGGTCGCAATTGGGTCGACCGTCCATGGCCGCCATGGCCAGATGCGCGTCTGTCCAGGACTGGGCCAACATGGTGAGTTCTTAACAAGAAAACTGGAGCTTTTAAGGGAGAAAAAAAGGGGAACATGGGTGAATGAATCAAAGAACCAAAAGATTGGACCTTAAGATATATGTTCATAGATCTTAGTCAAAAACTTGGTGAGTTTGACAAGCAAACTAGGGATCCAAGTGCAATAAATTGGTGCAACCAGCAGGATACTCAGCAGAAGCAAGGATGTTGACTTCTTGAACTACTCCAAAGGTCTCCAAAGATTCTACATGACTGGGTCATATTTAGGATACATTCTTTTTTCGTATCTTAAATTGAAGTGGTCTTAGAGTCACTATGAGTAACTACAACATTCTACAGTGAAGAATTCATGTGCTCACGCCATCGCCAAAACCACCCAAGTTGTGGCTCAAAATTATACACTGGTGATAGTTTGTGGCTCCATTGGTACCCCACCTAGTTTTGAGCCATATTACCCTCTGGTAAACGTTTACAGTTTGCTATGGATATCACCATCTTGAAGTTCGGCACATCAATTATTGTGGGCCATTTACAACAATCAATGACCAGAGGCTAGAAAAAATACATTCCAATTTCCAATTTCCGCTACTATACGACTATTGCTGGTGACATACCAAAAGAGGTATCCCCACGAGATATTCTCATTTCCGTTGGTCGAAAAGGGGCCATGCATACCCCATTTTCCCACGCTCCGAACATCTCCTTTAACCATCTTGTTGGAGAATGTCCACTGTAAATATCCCATCACAGATATTTCACCAAATCTGGCTTCACATCTCACTCAAATTCAATTAATAATTATCATCTTAAAATTAAGTGGTTAGAAAAATCTTGATTTTATCACTATTAGAAATAATCTGGATCACTTTAATCACTATCAAATCACCATTTTTGTCATCATAGATTCCACATCTCCCGTTGTGTTCCTACAGCTGATTGATATGGAACCTGGGCATCCCAACGCCGTGAGGTCCATCGGGTTTGGGATCCACGAAAACACCTTTTCGGCGGACGCAACGGAGGTCCGTGGAAGGCTTTGGGAAACATGGAAAGAGGATCCAAATCTTGCGGAAACCATGGGTAAACCATGGGTAAAACCATGGGTAAAACCATGGGTAAATGTTTAGAATAACGGCCCTGATTTTTTTGGTCATAAACATAGCATAAGACAATTCTTAATGGAAACGGTGTTCGTCCAAAGCCCAACTGATGGCAGGGTCTATGTGAATTTACTGGAGGGTAATCGTTCACTACCCCCAAATCATCCAAATCGGACCATTTTAGTATTAAAGCCCATGGTGACTTGGGGATCCCCCAATTTAGGAAACCCGGAAATAAAGATACATAATGATACTTAATACTTATCAGAACTTATCATAACTTATCATACTCTTATATTTTTCATAGTACTCTATCGCCAGTCAATATTAGTGATGATATTGGAATACCAACTGTTTGTGGTAAAATAGCCACCTCCAATTCCATCATAAATGGGTGGTCAAAATCATCCACTCCCCACAGGTAGATGACCATGATTGGCTCTACCACGTTAGTTACTTTCTAGTACAGTACAAGATGTTTTTCACCAACTTAACCAACTATTAGTTGTTACAAACCCATCTAACTGTAGTTATCAAACAGAGTTCTAAACCACCCATGGCAGCTATGGATTTCCATCGCCAGTGAGTTCCATGATTTCACCAGTCAACGGATCGCAACCCGTTTCGGTCGTTTCGGCGTCGGTACCTGCCATGGACTGCCCGTTGCCCGGCACATGTGGACCATGCAGCAAGGGCATTAAGAGCTCCCGAGGGTTCTGGCCGTTGATTTCGCTAATGACCTGAGGTGTTTCAGAAAATGTGGTGATGTGGTATACCCATCCATGGTGGGAATTCATGGGACTTTAATGAGGATTTAATGGGGATTTAATAGTGACTCAATAGGCCTCCTTTTGATATGAACACTGGCAATATCTATCCCACTGAACTCACTGAACAGCTAATTAACATGTTTTGAAGTTCGATCAGCCGGGGGCTACCACCATAAGTGCTAACGCTCCATGTGACATCTGAGGTCCGTGTTCAAATCCTCCCCATCTTGGCTGGTTAAATCTGCATGTTAGGTGCAAACCCTCTAGTAATTCGACAGTTTTCTATGGAAAATCACAATGTTTAAGAGGTAAATTGTGTCTAACATTTTATAAATGTGTAATTTTCCATTGCTGGGCATCTCCGGATTAAATCCCATGAAATCCGTGGAAAAATTGATCCCCTAAATCCCATTGAATCATCTTAAATCTATTAAAATCCCATAAAACATCCATTATGATCATTGAAATCTCATGAGATCACACACATCCAAATCCCAAAATGCCATTAAAATCAGATTAAATCCATCCCGCCACCACGCCATCCCCTCCCGCCAGCCACGCATCCACTCCAGGTCAACCAGGTTGTCAACCAAGGTGCATGGTCCGAGCGCACGTGGCTAATCTCCAAGAAGGGTCCGAAGGGGACCGACCCTTGGCCTCGGTGCACAAAGGCCGCATGACCGGCCAATCTCGGGCTGAGAAGGGGAAGAACTCTATGAATTCTATGGCGAAGATCGGAATCTATGGTAAAGTAATATATGGGAATAAAAAATAAATATGGATATAATAGAATAACTATAATATATAGTAAAATATATTATCATATAATATAATATAATTTATAATAATAATATAAAATAATAATAGAGTATAGTCTAAAAAATATTGTATAATACAATATAATCATATAATATAATGGAATACAATAAAATGGTATATAATACGAAAAAAAATAATATAATATAATATAATATATAATATACAATTATAAATAATAATAGTATAATACAATCTTATATAATATAAAATAATATAATATAATATAATATGATAAAATTAAAACAGTATGTAATGTATTAAAAAATAGTAATATATAGTAATATAAAATTGTAAAATATAAGAGTAATATATAATAATATATAATACTATAAAATAACATAATTTAATTTAATATAATATAATAAAACAAATTGTAATAATATAATATAATATAATAGAATAGAATATCAAATAATGAAATATAATATAAAATAATAAAATATAAATATAATATTATATAGTATAATAAAATATAATAAAAATGTAATATAATATATTTTATTATATTTTAATATAGTATAGTAAAACAAAATATGATTTAAAATGATATTTTTACTATAGTAAAACATTATATAATATAATATAATATAATATATGATGATATAGTATAATATAATAAAGTAAAATATAATAATGTGATATATTATAAAGATGATTTAATATAATAAAATATATAGTAATATATAATAATTCAATATAGTGAAATAAAACATAATATAATATAATATATAGTAATATATAACAAAATATATAATGTATAATAATAAATAATAATTTATAATAATATACAAAAATAAATATTAATATATAATATTAAAATATAATATAATATAATAGTATAATATAGTATAATATTAAATAATATAATATAATATAATATAATATAATAAAGTATAAAGTGAAATAATATCATTTCATACAATATAATGGAATATAATATCATACAATATAATGGAGTATAAAATAGTATAATAATGGAATGATATACATAATGTTATAATAGAATGATATAATATTATCATAATATAAATGATAATATTGATAATAATGATAGTAATATATATAATTATGTATGGTACTATCATGGGAAATGCTGAGAATTTCTACGGTGAAGATGCTATGGATGAAAAACAAGACACGTGCGAAACAAGCTGTATTATAGGAATGAATACTCAACAACGACCATTACTATGGGAATATGTGGTGGTGGTAGATAATGGGGATGTAATGGGAATATATGGCAAATATAATGGGAAGATGTAACTCAAAAATGAACAACGATCTGTAATCTAGCCCTTTTGAATCCGCTTGTTTTGACATTTTTTTCTGAACATATCTCACCTTAGTCTCATCTATGGTGATATTTCATGAGAATATTCCATAGTTCACCTTCGACATGACAGTGCATCCAGGATAGAAATCCACATGGGCTACCTCCAAAAAGATGCCGAAACGTGTGAAACCTTGATGGTATCATTGATGATGTTTCACCCAGATCTTCATCAAAGTTCTAGCATTTAGGGATCTTTTTGTTGGGTTGCTATGATGTTATGGTGATAGGCTATGGAATGTTGATAGGCTATGGAATGTTGATATTTTGGTTGATAACCAACTTGAGATTGATTTTAACCAACTATAGGCTTTTTATGGGATTTATAACCAACTTGAGATTGATATTTGGCGTTTGCATTCAAAGCCTTGGTACCAAGTTAACGATTGGAAAATATCCACGGGATTTCACTGATCATTTTCCCCCATGGGGATTACCATGGGGAATTTCCACGGAGTTCTGGTGGGTACTACCATTTTTGGAAGAACCCATCAGGTTTTTGAACAATGGAATTGTTTCATGGGTTTTTTATGGTGGTTTAATGGGATCTAATGGGATTTAGACATGGGATTTGCATGGATAAACATACCCATGACGGATCCATGGTGCTGCTATATATGGTGCTCCATGGATCCCATCAACAAAAACCCCATTTATGTTAGCATTAATATACCAGCACCAGCCGGATCCATCATGGGTAATAATGGCTATCTTCAACTGCGGACTTCATTCGTATTTCAGTCAGATGGCTACCATCGAGGTGGGGATTCTGGGGCTTCAGTAACGAGCCAGGCTCATAGGGTAACCAGGCAACAAAAAAACTCTGCTTTAAAGAATATCCAAAGTTGTGATTTGGGGACAAAAGTAATAAGAATAAATTGGGGACAGAATGTATATATATATATACATATATATATATATATATACTGTGAAACTTGGATGAGGCTTTGTCAAGCCCATTGCCAGGAAAACAAACGAAAGGTTCCAGAGTCCCCGCTACTCTCTGCACGCAGCGGGTGGCTGACTGTGTATGCAACACCCTGGTCCCAGAAACGGGGCCGCCATTTTGGAAGCCTTTCCTTCTTCCGGCAATATTGCGGCCCTGTTTTTGGGGCCGGTTTTTAGCCCCATTTTTGGGACCACGAAAGAGCAAACAGGAGCTGCTCGATGGTCCTGACGGCCCGGATTTCGTCCATTTGCTGGCGCCAGCCTTCCTTCTGCAATGCAAGCCGCCATGGACACACACACACATCCGTATAATACTATGAGGGGACATGGCGCAGAAGCTGTTTTGAATCAGTGAAAAAAGGTCCACTTTCCGGTGCCGCAAGAAGCCATGCTAACCTCTTGCGCTCTGGCAGCGTGCCGCCTTTACAACGCTTATGTCAGGAAGCTGTTTTGCGTGCATCTTGGGTGTGTAGCGTGCACTTGTTGCCGTGCATCCCGTCCGCGCGCTTTGGAATATACTATAGTATACGGCCAAAGCGCTAAAAGGGACGTAATCCCCTATTTACATGCGGGTTGGAGGGGCGTAATCGGGACGTACGAGGGGCGTAACCACAGATGGGAGGGATATAATCCCTTATTTACATGCGGGTTGGGGGGGCGTAATCGGGACGTACGAGGGGCGTAACCACAGATAGAAGGAACGCAATCCCTTATTTACATGCGGGTTGGAGGGGCGTAATCAGGACGTACGAGGGGCGTAACCACAGATGGGGGGACGTACGAGGGGCGTATAAGCACAAATGGGAGGGGCGTGATCCTTTGTTTACATACACGTTTGAGGAGCAATAGTTTCGGGTAGCGTAGTCTCCTTGGAGTTTGTCCTCTCCTGTTTTCGAGCCACATGCCTTCCCAAACATAATCCGTTGCAATTGGTTTCCTCACAGTTCGGTAGTGGAGAATGGGTTTGGCTGTCAGTCGGCTTGTGCTCAAACGGCGCTTCCACCAGGGCCCGTTTTTGGGGCCGCATCCGCATATGAAAAATGCCTTCTTGATGGTGGGCCCTCAATGTATATACTACAAACAACAATGAGGATATGAAAAGAGGTGACAAGATTCTCAATTCGTGACGCCAAAGGGTGGCTTCCAAAGTTAGAAGTCTTGAACAGCTTTGAAGCCTTGAAGAGAGTTGGAAAGACCTACAGTTTACAGTATAGTATATAATTTAATGGAATAATGGTGGGGGAATGGATAACAATGGTGAAATATACGTATGGATAATAATCTTATTTCCCTCAGGCTGATCCATCTGACGCTACCAGCTACCATGAGATTCTACCAATGGGATATTCCTGGGACAGGGGCACGTTTCAAACGGTTGCCTAGAACTCGATTTGATACAAAACATTCATCTGCTGCAAACATCTTCAGAAACAAGGGACATTTTACGCGAACACCAAGGAAAACTCATGGAAAACCCATGGTTTTTGTCCACCAGATCTGAGGTGGATGGGCCAGCGAAATCCCAATCACCAGTTGAAAACGGTGGTAAGTTTATCCCACTCTATAGGCTTTCAACCATCCCTTTGGTGGTGCAGGATTTCGCAACCATCCACAGTAGCCATTTCATCGTAACATGAGGAATTCCCATTCTTCAGCTGGATAGCATACTACACGACTCATTTTTCCCCATGAGAAAAGGGCATTCAACCACATTCAACCACATTCAACCACATTCCACCCACAATATCATTGGTGGTTGACCTACCCCCCTGAGAAATATGAAAGTCAGTTGGGATGATGAAATTCACCAGTCATAGAGAAAAAAAACAATGATCCAAACCACCAACCAGCCAATATCATTCAACCACCAGACCACCGATTTCCTCAACGTTTCCTCCGCCAACCCCATGGGATCATCAGAAACAAGCGGCATACCACCGGAGAGGCTTGGATGCCATCCAGCACCAGGCCAAAGGCTCCAGAGGTCTGGTTGCTTTTTCAGAGCGACATGGTCCCATGGTGGCTGAAAAACCATGGCTTTAACCATGCTGTAACCTGCAATAATCCCATATCACTTAATCACTATATATGGAAATATCATATATTCATGGGAAATACATTTATGGGAATATATCAGTTTTTCAATAAGAATGGCATGAATATGGTTTATATATGTTTTATATTGGCAATAATAATGGCAATAACATGTAATTATATATGATTTATATGTAATCTGGTTGGTGGTTGACCTACCCCTCTGAAAAATATGAACGTCAGTTGGGATGATGACATTCCCAATATATGGAAAAATAAAAGCCATGTTCCAAACCACCAACCAGCAATGGCATTAATGGCATTTGAAGCAGCAATCATGATGATGGTTGAACCGGCAGAACCGGCATCATGGGGTATCAGAAAGGTGATTTTGATGGGAATGAACAGATCCAATGCTATCAGTTACTATGAGGATATGGGTGATATACATTTCTTGCAACAAATTGTGGTAGTGATGAACAGAATGTTCCAATATGTAATTACAATCTATCACCAATCCCACACCTGATTTTAACCGGCACCATCATTTCTGGTGCGTCGTTCCAATCGAAACATCAACGGGAGGAATGCCCACTTGCTGCCGGTGAAAGCTGATGGGTGCAAAATCCGGCCATTTTTTCAAGGTTCAATCCCTAATTTGAGTTTGAGTCCATCTTTGGTTGTGTAGATCACTATTTTTTGATGGTCAACATGTTAATCTTTTGATGACAAAAATGCCGATGTCACCATTGCGACATCCTTTTCTTCTGGGTTTAAACTTATTCAACATCCAACATCAAACCATACGGTAACTGTAAGTTTTTCCATGCTAAAAACATGGCTAACCATAGATAAACCTTGGTAAAACCATGGTTAAAACAATCTTAAAACCATGGTTAAAACCATTTTAAAACCATGGTTAAGCATGGTTTTTTTACCACGGCGAAACCCCGCATTTTTCCGAGTTTCTCACCTCCAGCTGTCCATCCACGAAGGCGTGGTCCGTCACCGGCAGCCCACCCACCAGCACCGGTGGTCGACCGCTGGGACCTTTTTGTTTTTTTCGACAAGGGGCCGACCAGCAGGACGCAGTGATGTTACTATCACTTAATACTGGTTAATAATGGTTAATAATGGTTAATAATGGTTAATGAATGTCAGTACTGGTTAGTAGTGGTGATTGATGGAATATGCCCTCTGGTAAACTAACATAGCCATGGAAAATCACCATGCTATGAATAGGTAAACCGTCTATAAATGGGCCATTTTCCATGGCTATGTTAAATAACCAAAGGGTATTAGTGAATGTTATTTGTGAATACACTAAATTGATCTAAATTGCACTGAATATGATGTTATGAACGCGGTTATTAGTGAACTTAATATGATGTTATTAGTTATTAGTTGATGATTGATATTAACAAGAGTGAATATTCACTAACTAATGGGATAAAAAAACACAGTAGTATTAATCATGCTTAATAAGATACAAAAAATAGTGGCAACTATCATTGGTAAATGTATAGCTCATAGAATTTTAGTATTTGAATTATTATGATTGCTAACTATACTTAGTAAATATTATGTGTAAATAGTACTGTTGATACTAGAAATGTAACAATATATGATTATCTATAATTGTCTTAACTTGAAAATTAAGTGACTATGCTTTGATGATTATATCAGCATATCAGCTTGAGATACTCAGGATTTTCTTAGAAGCCCAAACAGGTTCAAGATCCAGAAATCCAGAAGAGATTACATCAAAATGCTTACTTTTTTCCGAATAGTTGTTACAATAGTTTCCCCTTTTGTCAATTTAGCATAGCTACGAAAAATGACTGTATGAAAAATGACCGATTGATGAATGATAGATCCCTGGAAAAGATTAAAAAAAACACAACGTGACTTTCCATTCCCGTGATAAATTACCAGAGAGTATGGGTTGTATGCAATATTTCAATGAGGATTTGTTCACCATCTTCTCAAATAAGTAAGAATTTGTTGGTGCACCACAAATCTGACCCAACTACGTATTATGGGTCTAGTTGCATGCAGCCTGGATATCAAATAGCTCAATGGAGACTAACTTATGGCACCCCTTGGGGTGTCTGGTAATCAAAAGTGGCTGGAAAATCCATGAAAATCCCCTATAGATGGAAGTTTAAATGGTAAAATCATCCACAAAAATGGTGGATTTTCCAGCCACGCCATGCGTACCAGGTACTGTAGATCCGGAACTCCTGGATTTACGATGGAACGGAACCCCCGTCCTTCCCGGGAGATGACTTGAGGATTCACTCAGCATGTCCCATTGATCGCTGTCAATCCGCCATCATCCCCCTGGCCAGCGCTTGGTTTTTTTCACAAGGCACTGTTGAGCATCATGTCCAACATGCAAACCTGCGGCTGCTCAAACCAACCTAAAACCCGAAGAAACTGCTGAACGACCTGATTTTCCTCTCGATTTCTTTCGGGAAATAGTTGTCCAAATCATCGTTTTGGGGTTGTGGAATTGTGTGTCGAGATGGACCATTGGGAGCCCATCTGTCAGATCAACCGGGACAGCGAATTCCAATGTGACATTCGGGTATTGGTCTCATCGTCTCCAGCCGGCAAATACCAAGCGGCCGAATTTTGGGTCACCCCAAGTTCACCCCTAGGATTTCATGAACAAAAAACCAAGATAAACCACGTTTATGGGGACAATTTAATAATTTAACATGGTTTAACAAGTTGCAAGGATCCAATTTTCAATCCCCATTTTTCCCCTCCAGGTGTCTTAATCCCAGCCCCACCACTGCGACCAAAGGGCCCAGCCCTGCGGATCGGCAGGTCCCGGCAGGGCACAGAAACCCAAGGCCGCTTTGCCAGCCATGCTCTTCCAGCGACCTGCAAGGAGGCTGCAAACATGAGGGATGACCCAAGATATGGTGAAAACATCATGGAATGAGATGGTCTAATTCTAGACTAAAGATCCTCTGAAATCATTGGTCCCATGGTGCCAAAGTTCATGTCTCCAACACTTCACCAGGACCGGGGTCAGAATTTTATAGAATTTTGGTATCCAAACTTTGGAGTTCAGTTACCGTCGTCAGGATCCTTGCTACAAAAATATTTTATTGCAGCATGTTCCAGAGCCAAGCCATCAAAAGGGATCAAAATTCAGGAGCAGAAAACTTCAAACAAAAACAGGATCTGAGATCTACCTTAGTTGCACGAGTACGTCCTGAACACCAGACCTGTGAAATGTAGTATGAGTACTCCTGGATCTTAGATTTTAACCTGTAACCATTTATATTAAGCAACAAACAATTCAAGATTTTAGATATAAATATATGACATTCATTGGTTTGGTGCAATGAAAACTCTACAGGAATCCACAATATATATATATACATACATGCCTTGGGGCAATGAAAACTCTACAGGATTCCACATATTAGATATGTATATATATGTATGTATATATACATGTTTTGAAAATCATTGTTTACCGGCCATAGTTTATACGCACCCGTGAACCAATCGATTGCATATGAATATCGTTTTTCTTAATGACCCAAAGAAGAAGCACATAAAGTTTCAGGCCATCCAAAGAAATGGGGACCTTTTTGCCTAGAGGAAACTGCAGTCATCATGTGTCATCAGTAGTCCAAAAGGGTTCCCAGAATGGTTCACGTCAAAGACAGCAGTGACACATGTTTTATCATGTTTTATCGCGAAATGTTTGGTTGTAGCGGATTGCACTGCTTCCTTTTCACTGGCGCTGCTTCCTTGCCTCACTCTGGTTAGCTTCGCCAGCTTCGGGCTTCAAACGGCTGGCAGCCAAGCAAGCAGTTGGACGAGACCACCAAGCAGCTCTCTGGCTCTTGCCCCTGTGACGGTGATGGCTTCTGAGATGATTCCTTCATTTTCCAGGCTGATACTCGCAATGTTTGGTAGCAGGACGACACCTGTTAATTTACTCACTTGCAATTCCTCACGCAAACCTTCCTTGACGAGAACATCACTCATTTTCTGCACCTTGTTCAGCGCCTTCGACATGTTGCCAGTGCCACCCACGTCAACCAGGTACAAAGCACCAGTGTCATCCTTAAAGAAAAGATCGGCACACGGATGGTTCCCCTCGGCGTAATAGAAAGTGGCGTTCTGCATCTCTGCGACTTTGGCAGAGTCGAGCATCTTGCTGTTCTTCTGAAAGATGTAGCCGGGCTGGATGTCTTGGCACTGGAATCAAACCATCAGCCCATCAAATTCAAGCCAGCTGAACTTGCACGACCTGCAAGCCAACACAAAGATAAGCGGATTCCAAGATCTTCCCAGCTGTTACAGCTGCTCTGGGGTTCGTTTTCAACGCTTGTTTGAAGACCCCTTGACAGGAACAATGTAGCATGTTGGCAAGACTAAGTAAGTCATCGTCTTTGTCATTTGTCACGAAGTAGAACCTCCAGCGGTGCCGTGAGAATATCGCCCAGTGCTACCACCTGTGAAAAACGTTTCTCTTGCACCCTGTCATCATCCTCTTCAATTCTGCAAAGCAGGTCTATTAGGCTCTTCCTCTGCCGTGCTCTGTCATCCATCCACATTCGGTTGCAATGGGCGATGCACTTCTCAAGCCTTGCCTTGACATCGTCACCGGCATTCACCAAAGTCTTGTTCATCTTGTCCAACAACCGGTCTAGCTCACTAGATGGAAAGTGCAAGCCGGCAAGGAGGAGCTTCTACAAGGCAAGTCCAAGTGTCGCACGCAATGTTGCCACACGAAGCAGATTTGCCGCATTGTCCATGTCGATGTCGTCCATGGATAGGCGCTCCTTCATGATTGTCCCCACATCTGGAAGCAAACATGCGATCGGTCGTCGGAAAGTTTCTGACGACTTCTGCTTGGGCAGGGGTGGAATGTCAGTGTAGGTTGCCAAGGCCTGGACCACAGCAAGCTCTGCAAGTACTCTCATGGAACCTCTCCGGAGGTCTGGGTCTGGACACATAGGCCTGTGCTCATCCACGTGCACCAAAAGCACGCCCTTTGGACTGCGTCGCATGAAGGTGGAGACGTCCTTCTCAAGCAGATTCTGCGAAGTTATGAAGGTTGGTGTGGCATTCGGCAAGTGCCACTCGTCAACATAGACATAGTCCCTGTCAAAGGTTTGTGCTCTGAAGCAAACCCTCATGTAAAGCCGAACACGCAGCTTGGATGATTTTCGGCATCCACTCACCAGTTGCTCTTCATCAACATAATCATGATAATTACCACTGTTGTTGGCGAATGGCATGTATAAATAATGTGTAAAATTCAACCGCGCATCATCCCCAAAGTCTAGCTCTCTAAAACGCAGGAAACCCACCACCGCCGATGCCGACTTACCAGAATGGGAAGCCGCTGTGATGTATGCGACCGTTGGTCGCTGCATTCTTTTGGTGAGGCTTGTCGCAAATCCATCCAAGTCGCATTCCCTGACATAAAACCGGAGTTGATACAGCTTGAGGGGTGGGTCAATACCCAGCTCCCTCACAGGTAAGGGCACGCCATCCGCTTGCATGTTCTCTTCGAAACAGTCTTTCAGCTTCCCATTTATGCCACCACCTTGACACCACCACGTTTCACCTGCAGCGGCGAGCCTGACGGCCCCTCGTCGATGTGAGGTCGCATGCTTCACAAAATCCGTGGGAGCCCAAGCACACCAAGGTCAGCAAAGTCAGAATTACGAACCAGAGGCGCGGTTTCTTCGCACTTCGAGTCATGGCACACTGCTATTATGGCAGGTTGCTAAGGCATCAGTGCTGAATGGAAGGAAAACGCTCATCTAAGGTGGAACAAAACTATAATTGCATGTATGTACACGTATACCTTAATTAATGGTCATATCGTATCATAATATTCTATCATGTCATAGATTATCTATTCTATATATATATAGTCGTCATGATAATGATTCTAAGAACAATAATAATGTGGTAACATTAAAAACGATAACAATTCAGCAATTCATTTTTCAACATTTCAACATTAGCCAACTGATTTACCCTCTGGTTATTTAACAATTCGCCATGGTATAGATGGCCCTAATCGAAATAGATGGTTTACCTGGGTTTAGCTATTAAAAATGGGTGGATTTTCCATGGCAAACTGTGAATGTCATAACCAGATGGTAATAAAAACGGCACCTTGTTTCAAGGGCGGCAGCTGCGTGGGATCCCCTGCGAAGGGGTATGCCGCAAAGCTTGGACCTGGCGATCCATGGAGAAGTTGGCTATCTTTGTAAGATTTACCATCTGGTTTTGACTAACAGTTTGCCATGGAAAATCTACCCATTTTTAATAGGTAAACCCAGGTAAACCATCTATTTCTATGGGCCATTGTCCATGGGTGAATTCTATGTTTTTGTAAAGAAAATCTATGAACACATTTACCTTAAAGTGGAACATCTATGGAAAATCCTAGGGAAACATGGAGAATCTGTGGAAAAAAATAAATGGGACACAGAATGCTGTCTAGTTGACAAACATATTGACTATTGACTGAGAAAACAAATAAGATAACATTTCCTCTGCCGCTTATCCACCGTCTCAACTGGCATATTGACGCTACAGTCTGACTTTACACACTGAGATATCTTCTGACAGCGGTTTACCACCAGCATTCCATAGTGGATAGTTGTTGTCTTAGACTTTGAACCTAGGAACACCTGTTGTTATTATGTTACCAAATAACTAGGGAATTCACTGAAAATAAAAGACAATGAGGATGAGCGCAAAACCTATATGGGATATTGATGGATATTGGCTAAAAACGTGCTACGTGCTTGGCGGTTGGTAGCGATCCATCCCAAGAACATCCGGTCAGAACATGGGTGAGCTACGTAACTATCTTTGTCAGCCTTGGATATCTCGTTAAAAACCGTTGATATATATATATATAAATTTCATCAATATGATGAGATGAACGTTGATGGATAACCATGAAAGGATTGTTTCATGTTTGCCCAGATTTTGTCTGTACTTCTTTGCAATTGGTGGGCCCGGTCGGCCCCAAAAAAAGATGTGCTTGTCAATTGGGGCACTGTAGTTGTCTCACTCTGGCGATTAAAAAAAAACAGAACTTCACCAGTGAACTATATCTGTTGTAATCTGTGATAATCTGTTATGATATGATGATATGGTGATATGTTATAGTATATATATATAATTATATATATTGTGACTAGTCTAACTGCTTACGAAAATGTTCCATCATTTTCCCCATGGTTTCAATGGCCATTTTGTGTGGGATACATCCACCATTTTCACGCACCGTTGATCCACGAGCAGCTCTTTTACTCCTCGCAGCTTTTACGTCTCCGACGACTTCGGAAACTCACCCGGCGAAACCCGGCGACCGCTGGGTCGGTTGTCGCAACGAAACCAGGCTTTGCTGCGAGTGAATTCATGGAGATCTGCGTGCGGAATCCAAATGACAGCACAGGGCAGCAACAAATACATCAACCATCCCATCATCTAGAACGAAAAGATCCAACAAGAATGCATTGTTACATTTCACTGAAGTCAACACATGTGGTTTCTGTGATTCTCATGACCATGGTGAAATGTTGTCATCCTTGTATGGTTGTTCAGGAAGTCTGACAAGCTATGTCAAAGTTCACAAACCAGACTTAAACATACTTATGAGATGTTATGTGGTTGATTAATGCTCTTGAATTGTTTGCAGTCACCAAAACATGTTTGTTGGAGAAAAATCCATGGCGGTTGCCCATGTCTGGTGGTTCCTGGGTTTCAGAAGCAAAGACTCACCTTTCCTACGGTCCTACTTATGTTTATACATGTTTATACATGTTAATTCCATGTTTCCTCATGTTGTCATGATGTCTTTCTCATCTTTCCGATTTCCATATCCAACACCAGCCATCTCAAGCTATTTTAACCATTCATCTTTATCCAGGCATAATTCATTATAATTCAATAGAATTGAACCACCTACACACACACTTGCGAAGTCATGAAAGACGGTCTCTTTTCATGAATGCAAAGTCTGATTACCTCATGGTAGATTGAAGGCATCACTCGGCCATACCGAGTTAAAAAGGCCAAGCTTATCCGTTGACATTTGAATGTCAGGTTGTTTAAAAGAGAAACCAATACGACTCAATCAAACGTGATCATGAAATGACTGAATGACGGCATGCAGGTTCTTGGGTTAGCCTGATCCCATAAAGTACTAACAGATACGAATATGACCACCAGCTATGACCCCAACATATTGGGTATGTCATCCAGGTGCATCATGCAGGTACGTTTTCACAACCTAAGGTGAGTGTCTTCATTGGCACAAGACTCACCAAAGGTCCTTGTGCCCCCTGCTATGAATTAAAATGCAACGGTATCCAAAATTTATGGTGGAAAGCAGTTGAAAACTAGTTGGTTGGAATCAGTCGCAAGAAAGTGAGGAACTCTTTGGTACAGAGCTTGACACACACAAAAAGGCACGAAGCCGGGTTGGTATTTCTTTAAAGGCGAGAATGGAAGACATCATCAATAGATTGGTGAGAAACCGCAGAGGAATTTTTTTTTTGCAACCTCATCAGCGTGTTAGTAAATATTTTGCCGCAGCCAAAAGGTTAGGTATGCTTGAACTGCCTTCTGTACAGGACGCGTTGGCAGTCTGTTTTGGAGAACCCTTTCTGTACGTACAGCTGAATGAGTTGGTTGAGATCATCACGGACAAATTGTTTGGGAAACGTGTATCTGCGAATTAAGGTTGCACGGGACTTTAGTCCGGACAAGCGGAGACGCATGCTGCCAGCAGAATGGAGATCACGAATTTTCCATAGTGGAGGTACTTGGTACCTTACGGTTCGTTGCACGACATCGATGGTGAACCCAAGGAGTGTACCATCTTCGACGGTTTCCAACTCCACCGGCGCTTGATAAAAGAAACAATCGGAAAGCACTCGCATGGGCAATGCGGAGCGAAATCGATGGTCAAACAAAATGAATCTGTTGTCCACATATCGTGTGAACAGAAGCTGGAGTTGGCTGGATTGAACAAAAGTTAAATACGCATTTCTCCAGCTGCGCTCTATGAGCGTCACAGCCAAATTACTGAGAGAGGGAGAGATGTGTGATCCAATCCCTGCTCCACGATGCTGTACCCAAATTTG